CCACTTTTTTCACAAACTGGTCATGAATGGTGTCTTCCAAAACAGTCTGCCAGCTGCGATGCAGTTCTCTCCCTTGTTGAAGAACACTGAGCTCATGCCCTGAAATACACAGATAGCACAATGGGGTTGCCTCTGCAGCTAAATCAAATGTGTGCAAATGACTGAAAAAATAAATAATAAATATGCTCCTATGAATGCACTTACCATGCGCACAGCTTTGTCCAAGTCACAGTCACAGAAGATGATGAGAGGGGATTTTCCTCCGAGCTCCAGAGACACTTTCTTCACGTTACTGACTGCACAGCTTCACATGGAGGAGAACACAGACACACAAAGATCAGCTGTAAGGTTACATTTTGTTTAGATGAGAGTTTTGTAAATGTGCTTTACCTCTCACCTCTTCATGATGTGTTTACCAATTTCAGTGGAACCCGTGAAGCCCAGTTTACGGACGTCAGGATGGTCAGACAGACGCTGACCCACCAGAGCACCTAGAAGAAGCACGAGTTCTACTAGAAGAGTCAGGCTCATGTGAAGCTTGACTTGAGTTGCTCGTAGCATGAAACACTGTATTTTAATTTTAAAAACATTTACTTGTGAGTGTTCCTACCTGATCCAGGAAGAATATTAATAACTCCTTTGGGCAGTCCTGCCCTTGCTGCCAACTCAGCAAACTTCAGTGCTGTCAGAGGAGTCACCTGGAAACAAATGACTGTTTTTAGCCAAGCTAGCAGCAGGACTAAATGGATGGCAGTTGACCAGTCCACCACTTTGCTCCAGACTGAAATAAAACCGTTGGGTGAACTGCCATGACCATGTGTATTGACATTCGTGTTCCCCAGAGGATGAATCCTAATTCATTTGTGGTGATCCCCTGGCTTTACCTCTAGCTCCACTCGCAGGTCAAAGTTTTACTTATCGTATGAAATCTCAATATCTCCTTGATAGATTGGCACAAAATTTGGTTCAGATATTCATGGTTACCAGATGATGATTCCTAGTGACTCTGGTCATTTAGTCTTGTATGGACAGAGCCTGGTTGCCAGAGTGGAGGCTGACCTGTGCAGGTTTGAGGACTATTGTGTTTCCAGCTGCCAGGCAGGCTGCCGTCTTCCAGGCCAGCATCATCAGAGGGTAGTTCCAGGGAATCACAATAGCACACCTCTGAGAAGAAAGAAAGGGAAGGGGGGTGAAACAAGTGTTTGTTTATAACTGTAATTGAAATATATTTGTAATATAGAAAATAAACATTGGGATGACTTGATCCAAGGCAGTAACTTTAATTGCTGAAAAATAAGATGAAGTACTGTATACTGTATATTGATCTTAATTGAGCCGCATGGAGAAATGCAATCCTGTGCTATAATCACCCAAATTTTACCTGCTCAACATACGTATGTGAGTCTTATCATACAGACATGTAAGTCCTTAAAAAATCCACACATCTATCTCTCACCCTATTGGTTCCTTCTTGGTGAAGGTGAGGTTACGGTTGGGCCTGGCCTGGTTGATGGGGATTGTGCTGCCCTGTGAAAAGAGGGAAAAGATTTATTTCCATGTTATCTATTATTCTATTGATGATAATCCAAATACTAATATAACGGTGGTACTGTTCATGAAAGTTCTATTTCATTTTATGAGTGACACTGGCCTTCAGGCTTTAAAAGCGGCTGTCTTACTTGGATCTTGTCACACCAGCCAGCGAAGTAGCGGAAGGTCTGGATGGACATGCCTACGTGAGTCTTTAGCGCCAGAGTGTAAACTGCTCCAGAGTCGATGGCTTCGATGGTGGCCAGCTCCTCCTGGTGATCCTCCATCAGGTCAGCCAGCCTGTGGGTGGGAAGACACGGGGTCACTGACATCATGGATCGTGCTTGAATGTGGCAGTTTAGGATTTTAATTTGTTTTTCTCTGCCCAGTAGCACAGAATCACGACTTTACAAAGCTGATTACATTGGGCTAGTAGTGAATATATGCGCAAAGAAAATAGTGTGAAAGAAAAACCTGACTTGCTCTGATAATAGTACCAGATCAGAGTCGAAAGAGGTGGAAACAATGATGACCTTGAAGTATTATTTATAGAATTTGTGGGAAAAGGTCATGTGTCCAGAATACCATAAGTCTATGTTATGGCATGTGATACAGGATGTGATGTCAAATTGCCAGTGCTTTACATTGGAAACAACAATATAGGTATTTTGATGAGTGTCATACGCCGCCAGTGTGTGTTGCCTTAAGCTTAACGCTGCACGTTAAGTAAGAACAAGTGCACTGACTTGTAGATGATCTGCCTCTGTCTCTGGGGTTCATCTTGCCCCACTCTCCCTCTTCAAAGGCCTCCTTAGCAGCAGCCACTGCCCTGTCCACATCACTTATCTGGGCAAGAGACACATCACAGATGGCCTGCAGGACAGACAGATACAGAGAAATAAAACCACAAAGCCAGCAGAGAGAGCAGCGGTACTCCAACCAGAGGCAAGAGAATTCATCTGTCCGATCAGTTAGGTAGGGTTACAACAATACAGAAGATATGGATTTTTCTTTTTTTAATTTGGATTCTGGTGATGGAGACTTTTTCAATTAAAATCTTGACAAAGTCAGTCTGTGAAACCTGCAATATGGCAAAGTTATTTCCACCTAATATTGTGACTGACATTCTAATGAGTGCTGATACCTTACAATATTGCACCTTTTAATACCGCAACCTGGCAACCTATTAACAACTGCAACTGCTCCCTTGAGGGATGGGTTAAAACGCAGAGAATGAATTTCACTTCATGATTGTGTATGTGACAATAATGTACCTTTACCTTTTAACAATGGCATTCTACTGGCCAGACAAAATTTTTATTTATTTTAGATCTGTTGGCTTTGGAAATATTAATATGGGGCTTAAAGACAGAGTTTACACGGAAAATTTGTTCCAGATGGAACCCATACAATAAAAGTAATTTAGTAAGTTCATTTTCTCTTCATTCTTTGTCTTTTTGGTTACCGTGCCATCAGTGGGGTTGATGGTCTTATATGTCTTTCCTCCTTCTGCATCAACAAACTCTCCATTAATGAACAGCTGGTGGGGCATCTTTATGGTCATGTTGTTGATGTTCTTCTCCACCTGAGGAATTAAACAGTGTCCAAAACAACAGTCAACGTGTTGTCCGTCCTGAGCCAATCAGTGACAAATACCAGTCAGTAACAGCAGTTTAAACACAGCCAAACACACTTACATAGTCAACGACCAGTTCCTCTTCATCGTCTTCCCCTCGGAGCTTCCTGACACACATCTGGATGAAATCCTGGAAAGTGGTGTTCATGTAGATGTCCTCGTTCTGCAGCTGGCAGCTCTACTGGCACGAAGCTTCACCTCCTCCACAAGCCTGAAGACAGTGACAGAAGGTGGGACAGGAAGTGATCAGAAGTGCAGTAAGTGTTTACTGATAATAACAAGACTAAGGTTGTATAGCCATGCTAGCAGGTCTGTGAGGGTGCTTTGAGCTAAATGCTAACATCAGCATGCTAACATGATTACAACGACAACGCTAACATGCTGATGTGTAGAAAATATAATGTTTACCAACCTTATCTTAGTTTAGAGTGTTGGCATGCTAACATTAATTATCAGTAAATACAAAATACAATGAGCCATCGAATGTGATACATTTTGTAGCTATTTGGTCAAACTGGCTAGATGAAAGGTCAGGCAATCAAAGTTTTTACAATTCATCCTTTAGGGACCAAATTTCATGCTAAACCTTGCAATAGTTGTTGAAAAATTTCAATTATTCCCAAAAATGTCAACCTTTTAGTGGTGGTGGAAGAAAAGTCAGGGATCACCAAGGTCACTAATGCACATCCTCTGGCCAAATTGTTCAAAAATGTTGTGCCATCCATGGTGTACATCTTGAGATATTTGACTGAATAAGTGTCTGATCTGCTGGTGGTGCTACAGGAAAAGTCATGGAATCACCAAATCTGTAGCAAATATCATCACGATAATGATAATCCATCCAATAGTTTTCAAGATATTTCACTCTGCACCACTGATGTTAACATGCTGGTGAAACTAGCAAGGGGTTCATTATCTGGGGACCATGAACATCTGTACAAAATTTCATGGCAATTCATCCAGTAGTTGCTGAGATATTTTAGTCTGAACAAAAGCGGTGGACCGACTGACAGACAGACATCACCGTGGCTGAAGCTAGCTGCTAGCATGGCTAAAAATGGATATGGCAAATAGATTATGCTGCAGAGGTTTGAAACTTGGCGGTATTAGAACACAATGTGACTGACAAGAACTCAACCTGATAACAGATGCAGAAGGAAACTGCTGTAAAAAAAACATTTCACCTTTCAAGGCTGCAAGCTACAGTACAGCAACCTATAATTAATAATAGTAATTACTGTTCTGTGCAGAGATATACTGTATTTCAATTAACTTATGTATGCAGTGTGTATGGATAGATTCACTTCAAAACTTTTGATTTGATTTTGGTCAGTAATCACTCTAAAGTCTTGGTCATAGCTTCTGATGAGAGAGTCCCAAAAATGCCCATAGTGTGCCAGATACATTAGAAACCAGCACTGTTTGTCTCCTTAGACAATTCTATTTAAGGTGATACATTTATCTTTTGCTCTTTTTTCATTACCTGACCACATCCATGGAAGCAGCACCCGACTTGAAGAAATCAGTGGAGTCTTCGATCTCACTGGCATTAGTCAGAATGCTCTGCCACACCGCCTGTGAGGAAACAGTGTCAAAAGTCAGCATGGGACATTTTTTGGTGGACAAATACAAATTTCGTGGGCAACTTCTCGGTTAGATTTTCTTCAACTTTCCTAGAATTAGTAGGAGGCCCTACCTTCATCTGTTTAGCGAAGGCTTCCTCCTCCTCTGTGAGCTCCACAGCAGCACTGCTCCCTGAGTGAAAGTACTGTGCTGCAGCAATCATCTTCCCATCCTCAAATTGAAGATTCTTCACCAACAGCTGCATAGAAAGAGAGCATGAAATGATCATAAAGACTGAATAATCTTACATAAGCTAACATTCGGTAGTGGTATAGTCTCTGGCTGTGTATAAAGCATGTCTACAGCAGGAGAGATGTATCAAATGGAGTCTACATAAGGAAACATCTGTCACAACTCTAACTGTAATCTTTCATTGTGCTGACATTTATTTAGGGTAATTTTTAATACATTTTAAGGACCTGCAGGAATTGCATACAGACTCTTCTGTCCTGAACTGATATGATAAAATCATTTACTCAAAATGTAGGTAGTAAGTTATGAATGTCTGTGCAGTCTTACAAGTTTAAAATTAAGTATACAGAAAGGCTGTCTTGCAACAAAAAGTGATGATAGGTGAAATTCAATGTGATGATTGGTCATAAAATGTTTGTGACGTGACAATGGAAACTTCTGTCCAGGCTTCTGTAACAGACAAATTGCACAGTCCAGTACAGTAGGTGGCAGTATGACATATTGTACCCTTGGCAAAGGCTGGTGCTCTACACAGTGTTGCACACAGCTTGCAAACAGAGCCAAAACTCGTGTTGCACGATGGCTAACGCTACGCTTCAGTCATTCAACGTGTTTCTGACGGAAAGATTAACCGCAGCTGCGGTAGACATCTATGGATTCGTTGAGAAGACAATAATAGACTACCAGGAGGAGGTGTACCGAACACAACTGGAGAACCAGAGGTTGCAGCGGCTGCTGGATTTGGTCTACAAACCAGAGATAAGACTGCACAGGACAGGTAACGTTTTGTTTGTCAGTGTACACAGCACCTCGCCGTCGGTCAGTTAGCAAACATTATAATTAGACATTAAATAACTAGCATCACATAATCCCGTATGAAGCTAGTTATGGGCTTTGTATTTGCTACATTCAGCTACGTATGCAATCCATCATAGCTAGCTACTGTTTCAAAGCTAATGACAGGAGAATTCCACTCCCTCTCAATTTTCAAAATAAAAATGTATTTATACCTTAAACGTTTTATATAGTACAATGCCACGTGTTATAAGGGATATTGTTATTGTGGTCATAGTAAGACACTGCAGCAACATAACACAAATGACTTTTTTTGTTATTTTCAAAACGTTTGAACACTTATTGTTTAAAGGACACATTTTAAGCTTGTAAATTGAAGGTAACATCAGCTAACTTCCGGTACGTTATTTTTTTTGTGTGTGAGGGAAAACGCCAAACCTCTTCACAAAAATACGGTAACGTTAATTAAAAGTCACTCTTAGGATGTATGTACTAATTTTACAACATGTACGTAATTTATAATATATTTTGTAGGATACACTGGTTAATTCGGCACTTCTCTCCCCCCACTACAGTTTGGTGGAAGAGGGAACATGTATTAGGGTGGATGTTCTCACTACTGAAACACGACCACTAAGTTACCTTTTGTACATAAAAAAATCTTAATTTTAGCTATACTCAATTGTATGCAATGTCAGCTATTGATTATGTACATTTTCAAATGGTAAACATGAAAACACTTCCACTAACATGGTCATCTTAAACCTGAATAACATTGAGTCGCAACACAAATCTTGCACCCGCCACAAACTGCAGCGCAAGTGTCACTTTAAGTGTCACTTCCAACTGACGCAGTTGTCATTTTCATTCCCAGCACCCACTTTGTTTAAATATGCACTTGCGACCATCTGTGCGCCCAGGGGAGTGTTGGGCTTACAATGAGGTGTGGTCAGACAAATTGTTGGCGCATTGCTCTCTTGAGGCAGCAGAAAGTGATTGTGCCTTTGACCAAAAACCAAAACGGTGTAAGGGGCGTATTACTCTGATAGTTGGATGATCTTAAGAGAGACTCTTTGCGCATATCTGCACGAGGAACAGCAGCATAACTTCATTCATATTATAAATTAGGCCTATAAATCCCCCACACGCTAATGTTAATTCATGTTCTGTGTTCTTCTACACATCCACAAGGTCTGACACATGGTCCAGGCTCATTCAGTGGAACTGTTTGGGTAAAGCACCCGTCCTCCTGATCAATCCTGAGGTCAAAATTATTTCAGAAGCTAAAAGTTGAATTGTGTTTTCTGTGCCCTGGCATTTCAAGTTTATAACAACAGTTTATAGTTTAAAATGACTGACAGCACTCTCTCTAATCATGAAAGTAAATCATTAAAGAAAACAGTCATACATCAATAAAACACAATAAAGAACCCACTGGAAGAGAAAGGTGTGACTCATGACCGGTTCATAGTTTCTAATAATTCAGCGCAGTGAGGCTCCAGGCGTTTCATAGAGGAGATGGTGTCTGTCAGTCTGTTCAGACTCCAGTCTGAAGTGGAGCTGAGACACGTCACTGATAAACCACAGAGCTGCAGAGTAACATCAGGCTTCATGATCAGAGAGGATTTTTATCACGTCCACACTTCTGATCCTCTCTCTGCTGTGAGTTTGCAATTCAATCAATCAATTGAAGTTTTTCATAATGCGCCATTTATTCACCATTATAATGGCAATGCACCAAGGTAAACTAGCAAAATAGGAGTTGGACACACTGGGCCCTAAAACTCTGATCTTGTAAGCAAGGTGAAAAAACTACTTTAAAAGGGAGATGATGGTCCAGTGTTTTAAACAACCAACTGTAACAATAAGATAAATGTTCCTGCGGAGACAACTGGTTTGTCTGTTATCAAATTCATTGTTAGTCACATTCCTGAGTGAATAAAACACTGCCTCATACACCATTAATGTTAACATAAAGTCCCAGGTCGCTTGCATGTGGAGGAGCTGCTTAAATACACTGAACCAAACGCAACACTTTTTTGTTTTGGCCAGTTGTTGGCATGTTTTGAGGGAGCGTACAATTGGCATGCTCACTGCAGAAATGTCCACCAGAGCTGTTGTGCGAGCTGTTGTATGTTCATTTCTCCACCATAGCATCTTGATATGCCACACCTGTGACGTGGATGGATTATCTCGGCAAAGGACAAGTTGTAAAATAGTGTGAGCATTTTGTTAATGATAAGCAAACACTATGTTGATGTCACATACTGTAACTGCATATTGGATTTCTTTTGCAATTTCCTGTCTGTAATTTTAACCTGTGACCTTGTGTCTTTCTGGTGTCATTGATGGATTGGTTGAACTTTTGTTTAATGATTGTTAATATCTCTTGCCAGATACACCCCAAATACAAAACACATCAAAAGGTTAAAAACACAATAAAGCCCAACGGCTTATTTCCATTGTGGTCCTTTTTGGGGAGGAAAGGGGTAGGAGCCTCTTAAAAAGGCAGCAAGTATGTAGCTAGCAGCTTCTAAGTATGCATACTTTCATTTAATAATAAATAAAGTTCAATGACAGTACAATATACAATGATATTAATCCATACACATTATAGTACAGCTAGACTGTATGGGGAGTTTGGCCTATTAACTCCCATCGTTTTCTATGAGGAGTGGCTTGGGAGAAGCACGTTGGAATTGTGGGAGAAAGTAAACTCAGTCAACTTGATGGGGTGAAACAAAGCTGTACAGTATATAATCAAACAATAAAGCTTAAATTAGCCGAGCTACAGGTGTGCCAAATGACATGAATAGGCAAAATGAAGTGTTGGAGTGTATGGAGTCAGGCCACCACAAGCCTCCAGAATAGCTTCAATGCTCCAGATTTCAAGTCTGTGAATCAATACTGGAGGGGTGAACATCATTCTTCCACAAGATATTCCTTCATTTATTTAATTAATCAGGTAATCTCATTGTTTAAAATCTGTTTTGCAAGAGAGAGTACAGCAGATAGAAAAACAAACAAAAGTATCAGAGACATTCACAGATGTCACTAAATCGATTTACAAATGAAAGTTTATCTTATATCTATATATTTGGTGTCATGCTATCATTATTTTTTCTTACTGACAATATGCCAGTATTCAGTGTTTCCTCTATATGCATTCAGCAGCGGGACCGCCACTGCTAAAATTTCCCACGATCATTAAACTATGCGCTACAAATGTTTTCACTCGCACATTGTGCGAGCACGGCAGCCCTCAATGCTCTGCTCGCTTCCTCTCCTCGTCTATGCAGAACATACGTGACAGACGGTGTTACGAGAGCAGCGTAACTCTGAATCAGGAGGTGCGTAGCGAGTGTTTGATTGTTCGAGCGGCAGAAAGCGACGGTGAACGCGAGCAGAGGACAATATTCTGGCAGTAAATGTGCTGTGTCTGTTACAGTGTGTCAGCTTCTCAAGACCAAGAAAAGTCTGTTGTTTCCCACCTGCTGGAAAAGTGAAGCCGGTTAGCGCTAAGTTAGCTAACATCTCCCCCCCCTTCAGACTGCGCAGCTGAGCAGCTTCTACAGCGGCTACATAGCTGCTATGTAACTTAACATTAGTTCAATTTATAGAAAGTAACTGGAAGCTGTATTTTATTACTGCCTACTTGTCCAATGTTGAGATCATCAGGTACAAACTGGACTAAACTGACAGAGCCTGCAGCTCTGTCCTGTACAGACTGATTCAATTATTTTTCAGTTTTCAGTCTGAAAAAGTGGTTTTGGAAAAGAAAGGACAGAGGTGAGTGGAGGAGCTGAGGTTAGTAAAGCTAATTAGTTATGCAAACTAGTCCTTTTAAGCTAATGAGGAGACGTTTCTTTTTGGAGGTTTCTCATGTTGCCTATTTTTTATATTAATGTCAGAAGCTGTAAAATGAAGACACAAAAGGCAAACATGAATAGTCGTATCTATAATGATTCTGAGGTCATATTAACAGGGTTTTCCTGCCGTTAAGGCTTAGAGGTGATGCCCAAAACATGCTGTGCCATCACTGTAAAATTACTGTGGAGCAACAGAACCAACCAAATTACTTTTTCCAGATCTAAAGGTTGTAGTTCCTCCAGTAGACTGATCTTTGGGTGTTGTTTATTTATTATCTGCTCTAGCTTTTTCAACTATTTGTTCAGAGATATGGTGAAAATAATGGCCCAATATGATGTGAAATTACATATTTTTCTTTGGAAAACACACAATTTTCGCTGTTTGTCCTGCCCCCGCTGCTGAAAAAATTCCTAGAGGAAACACTGAGTATTACAGTAAGAATTATGCCCAATTTGCCACCGTGGAAGGTTTACATTTTTCAAATAAAATTAAAAACAATGATAAACGTTGTCTGCATTTACACCCTAATGCAAGTTGTCTAACTAAAATATAATAGAAGTAAATTCATCTGTTTATTTTAATTATGGATAGTTACAAATGCGCTATGTTTTTAAAAGTAGGAAGCAATCACACAGGGAGAAAAAATTTAAATCATGTATCAAAGTTTTTGATTTCTCAACATTCAGATGTAATTTAAATTGTTTTCATTGCAACGTAGCCCTCGGAATCCAATTGTGATTCCCACACAATCCGTGTATGGTTCGTTCTTTCATTATTTCGTTTCACCAAATCGGAAAAAAACCCCAAAGAACCAGGTCGGTTTTGTTTTAAAACCAAAATGGAAAAATGATTTTGATATTTAATGAGTCCGATTTGTGTAGATTTAATGTAATTAAGATGAGCTTGATCATCAACATAAGTGGGTTTTTACTTTGAACAGGACAATATTATGAAGCTGCAGTACCGGAGGCTGCAGCTATTTAATATTGGCTCAACGTTCACTTTGTAACTCACTAGCAACTAGAACAGGAACGCTTTCCAGAGAATCGTCTGGTTTTTAAGATTTCTCAAATTAATTCACTGATAGTTGTCAGTAGGTTATATATCCAATGGTAGGCCTACAAAGCAACCATGAACTGGTATTAGTTAATTCGGTGAGCTGTATATTAACAAATCATAAACGGATTAAAAGGTTCCATAGGCTAATTTTCATCCAGCCTCTCTTGCTACACTGTTTCGATCCAACCTTTATTTTCTTTGTGAGATGGAAGAATTTAGTAAATTGGGTGGCGCTGCAAGCGTAAATCAGGAGCTCAGACTTCATCCTGCCAGAGGGAATGACCACTGACCGTCCAGGGCGGCGGTTCCACTGGCAACACAACCCATAGTAGGATGAACGGAGGGGGAGCAGGTGCTGCAGCATACAGGGTGAGGGAGAGGAGGTCGCACCTTAGCCGTGGCCTCGAGGAAAAAAACCTTGATAAACATATTTGGTTATTTTCTTAGATCGCTCCGGTAACCAGCTGCTTCAGATCCACCCAAAACAAAATGCTTGCTTGATGCTGACGTAGAATTTGTTGAGTGTTTGAGGCTCTGTAATATAGTGCTCACTTCTACAGTCATATTCGCCACAGTTGATATGAGATGCGATGCGACCTGAAAAGAAATAGCCTTATATAAAATTAAATATAAAAATATTTAACCTAATGTTGACTTTTTGTTTCACAGGATACACGAACACAAGTCTCCTGATTCAAAGGTCCTGGCCCTCCTTTCACCCCAACCATGTTCTAACTCAGTCTTTTCTGGTAAATATCATATACCTACCTTTACCGTCACAAATTGAGTGACAGGGCTTCCCCCACTGCGTTGACCTATGACTATATAGAGATCCCCAGTGCGTTACGCTAATAGGCCTTGACCATGTCATATTTGACGAGTCGGGGGAAGAGAACAGGTTGTAGGCATACAACACCGGTCAAAGGTAGAACAAAACGCAGCTCCTTTGTTTTCAGTTATGGGTTTAAAACAGAAAAACAAAACAGATGTCTTTTTTTTCTCCGCTTTTCCATTTTGGTTTTTAAAACAAAAACCAAAAGAGCGACTTGTTTTTTTCGATTTGGTTTTGAAACGAAATAATGAAAGAATGAACCATACACGGATTCCACACCTAAAGGTAATGGATGTGGTGTTTGTTGTTGGTCCACAGTATTTTAACCCTCATACAACCAACACTGTCTTTCAAATCGTTAACATCATCTATCCCATCCATCCCATTTGACATGAACGCTGGGTTGTACATTTTTCCACACTGTAATCGTGCCACACCTTGAAGGCACCATAAAGCCTTAAAACCAATAGAGAGCCAATAATGTGACAACAGTCTTGAATACAGAGTTTCAATACCTTCTGAGTGTGGATGTTCAGTGTTGGTATTGCGTTTAGAATTACTTCACCCAATCGTAATTAGGAGCCATTTGCTGAGGTACCTTGCTATGTGATTACTCCAGTGTAGAAATGGATATAGAAAGTTTCCACCAGCTCGCACAACCTACAGCCTCCCTATATTATTCTGCACATATTTCTGTTTCCACATCAGTTTGTAGGCTAGGTTTGTCATAATGTATATGTGCAGTAATCGTGTGAGCATTTCATAGAAATCTGTTGTATCTAGGGCTGTCCCCAAATAAGGATTTACATAGTCGAATCAGAATCGTCAAGTCCTGCCTATAGTTGACTCAGTCGAATCATGTGAGTTTTTGTGCACGGTGATTGTGGCCTTTTTCTTTCTTTCTACATGTTTATTTACAGCATTAAATGTTGAAATGTGTATTGTAATAGTGTGTATATTAACTTATTGGGAGACGTTGAGCACCCCCATATCGCATAAATGGCATGATCCTTGTTTCACTGCAAAGCTCGACTGTGAGATTGACAGTCGAATCAGGCTCCGCCCATCGAAGCATCGAATCTTCGACCATTTGGGGTCAGCCCTAGTTGTATCTATTGTTTTTTATGTTTGGTGTGCTGCATTTGTATTAAAGTCTGTTGTCATACCATAATTTGCATTTGATTTCTCTGCTGCTGGTAGGACGAGCGTCACCGCTTGGGATCATTCAAGTTTCCCAACATCTAGTTCATGTGTGATCAGAGAAGTGATTTTTCTAGCTGCTACAAAAAACATTTTCCTATCCACTGTTACAGATTCAAGGCAGATCGATTTGCCCACACCGACACAGGAGGTTTGTGCTCAGGAGCAGCAGATACAGAAGGAATGTATTCCCAGTGAGGCCAACGAGGAACCAGTCATCCCGCCCTTTAAAGAGGAACCGACCGAACCCTGGACCAGCTCTGTGGAGACACCTGTATGTCCAGCATACAGCAGCATTACTGACACACTAACTCAGATTGTCACAGTTGGAGAACACGAAGAAAATGAGATGCCAGACAACCTGACACAAGTTGTGACAGTTGGAGAGCACTGCAAATACGAAGCGCCAGAGAGCCTAACTCAAGTCATAACAGTCGGAGAGGACATCGAATACAAGATACCGTCACAAGATGACCAACCACAACCATCCTTTGGAGTATCGCCACTATATACAAAGAAGAAAAACATGTTTTTTTGTAATTTCTGCTATCGGCCTTTTCTGAAAAAAGTCGAGTTAAAGTTGCACCTTGCAACTCATGCATCTAAAAGTGTGCCAAAGGCCACCAACGTAGCGTTCACCTGCTTTGTCTGTGGTAGAATAACAGACACCAGGAGTCAAATGATCAGCCACATGAGAGCGCACACCGGCGAGAAACCATTTGCCTGTCCCATTTGTGGCAACAGATACAAACTGAAAGGTCATATTAAAGAACATATGAGGACTCACACTGGGGAAAGGCCGTACACCTGCTACATCTGTGGGAAAAGCTTCAACAGATCTTCCACCATGAGTAAACACGCCAGGATCAAGCACAGGGAGAACATGCCGTTCAAGTGCATGCAGTGCGGCCAGCGCTTTCCCCTGCTCGTTGTGTTCAAACAGCACATGAAGATGGTCCACGATGTCACCTTCTCCGTATGAGATACCGCTACTGTGGAAATGTTGATGCTGACTACTGGTTAAAGCTCAGAAGTTACTCTGAGTCTGGTTTCTGATGTTGATGGCTTGTTTGTAGGTTTCTATTTTATAATTGTATGTTTATTCAATTTGCTGCTGACATGCTTCCCCAAATAAGCACTTATGATCTACTGCACTAATCAACTCACCCTAACCCATGCTGTCATTACAATCGGTTTTAAATCTAACCTGCTTAGTAGAAATATACACAAACAGTCAACGTACCAAGCAAATACCTAACCAACAAAAAGCGATACACGCATATAATCATTAAGGGCACTTTAATTACTACAAAAGTACAGCTTTGTTATTGATAGTTTTACTTCCTTACTTTAATTCATATGTCACTTATGCAATATGTTGCCTTTAATGTCCTGTTTTTGAAAAGTGCAATGCCAATAAAGTTACAATTCATGCAATTACTGCTGCAGTTTTTCATTCGTTCGTTGTTTGTGTTTGTGAGCAATATATGTTGCCATGCTGACAACACATTTGAAGCTTTTTGCATTGCATTTTGAAATTAATAGCAGCTGAACATCTTGCTTTTGTTAACCCCTAGTATTTTAACTTCCCTGCAGTGATGTAGAATTGTACTCCAGGGTGTGTTAGTACACTGTGACATCACAGTGGGGTCTAGTTACAGGTGCAACAGAGCACACTTCTGATCACATTAAAGTCTGTTTCTAGGTTTGGAAGTCCCTCCAGAGGGAGCTGTGTGACGTCAGATAAATTGCCTTAAGTGATGTCACTTGAGTCAGTGTTAGTTGGGTGTGAATTCTGCAAGTTTGAAAATGAAGGAAAAAAATCTGGAGTTGTGGAGTTTGAAAGAAGTGAGCTTACCAGACCTCTGCAGCCCGCTTCTCATCTCTGATGCTTGAGGCTACATTAGCTGCTACAAGATTAACAAACCCAAATCCCAAACCCAACTGTTGAGTGGTAGTGTCGCATTGTGGGAAATGTAGGCACTGGGTTTTGACAAGTAAGAGGAATGTGTGGAGGAAAATGAGGAAAAAGTTCTGCTGCATTAATTTTTAGCCCTTTTCTGTAATGTCAATCATGACTCTGATAATGTTGTAGGAGTCAAATGCTGAATTGGTGCAGTACTGTGACCATGACATTTTACAGCTAGAAATTCTGAAAAAAGTCTGATGGACAATGCTATGGCATAACATCTTTCTGTACTGCAATTCTTGTTACTTACCAACCAATTTGTCAATACCAATATGTGTGATAAGCTAAATTTTGCTAATAATAATATGCTAATGTATCATCGTGCTCGAATTGGGATTGTATTGGGATTTTATAGTTTGAATTGCACTAACCTGAGTTGAAAGATACTATACAAATAAAGTTTGACTGATTGAACATGCTTTGATTTAAAATACTTTGACTAGCATATGCTAACTTATTCTTACACAAGAAAATGGTTCCTAGTTTGAGGCTCTTCTGAATTGCATAGACCAATTTTCCACTCTTGACTGATTTGTCCCTTCATGAAGCTGATGTGGCTCTGAGGCGGCTGTTCAAAACTTTCTCAAAAAAGGTAAAATTCCTGACTGGTATGGATTGAGCACTATTTTTGCGCCGACGACTTTGATGTGTACTACAGTTGTAATGTATTTCCATTTCCATCCTTGCAGATGCCAAACAGCCAACTGCACCTACATCCGCAGAGGAGACTCCCCCTAAACAGCAGGAGTGGAGCCCGAGTGTGTGCCAGGACGAGCCAGGACCCTCGGAGGTTAAAGCGGAGCAGGAGGAGCAGAAGGAGGAACTGTGGATTAACGGGAATGAAGAGCTGCCTTCAGCAGAGGACAGCGATGATGGGGACGCCTTGACAAAAGAACTCATCAAAACTGTGCAGCAGTTAGAGGACTGTAGAGCAGCAGAGGAGAGCAGAGAGAAAATGCAAACCGCTGCAGAGGATCCAAAGCACTCTGAAGAGAAGACAGGTACCACCTTATACCGCTGCCACATATGCAACTACATATTCACCAAAAAAACTGTACTTACATGGCACCTGAAGACGCACGAAAGCAGGTCGCATGACGGCAAGGGAAACTTTGACTGTCACATATGTGGCAAACACATACCCTGTCAGAGCAATCTGCAGAACCACATGAGAGTGCACACAGGAGAGAGACCCTACAGCTGCCATTTCTGTGGCAAATGTTTTAAACTGAAAGGACACATGACAGAACATATAAGAACTCACACAGGAGAGAAACCTTTCAGCTGTCACATCTGTGACAAATCTTTCAACAGAGGATCAACTCTGAGGAAACACGTTTTAGCCAAACATAAAGAGGAGAGACCGTACAAATGTGGGGATTGTGAGGAGTTATTCACCGAAAGGCTGCTGATGAAGAGGCACATGCGAAAAGTTCACGGCGTCAAACTGTCCACGAGTCAAAGCCCTGCCTAGAACCTTAGAATAAGCATCTCTGATAATGCACGTTGCATAAAATCTGAGAATAGGGCAAGGTATCTTTTGAAATTGTTCGATACTAGCTCCATTGAGTTTTGGTACCAACACCAGAACAATACTTCATAATCTTTTTTTTTGTTGTATGTTTGAGATGAAGCCAAACTTCTCAAATGTTAAATGCTGTCATACATAAATAGCTTTAAGAACATTGCTTAAATAAAATGCAATCTAGAATTGGCACAATTATTATTTTGAAAGGGAATAGTTTGACATTGCTGTCCTGCCGAGAGTTAGATGAGGAGATTGATCTCACTCTCATAAGGAGCTGGAGCCAGGAAGTGATTAGTTTAGCTCAGGATAAAGACTGAGAGTAGCTGGAAACAGCTAGCCTTGTTTTGTTAAAAAAATACACCTATAGTTTTAAATATCTCTAAAGCTCACTAATTTTACCTTGTTTGTTAAATTCATTCACAAACAAATTTAAAACTATTTCTTGTACTAACAACAGTGTCATAGCACAGTCACATCCTGGGGGCTTGTTGCGGTGTACACATTATTATATATATATATATATATATATATATATATATATATATATATATATATATATATATATATATATATTATATATATATATATATATATATATATATATATATATATATATATATATATATATATATATATATATTATATATATATATATATATATATATATATATATATATATATATATATATATATATATAAAATGTAATCACATATTATACATTAAACACAGAACCAGGCTAGCTGTTTACCCCCTATTACCAGTCTTTGTGCTAAGCCAACTGTTTCCAAAGTTTCAAAAAGTATCTAATTGAAGAATATGTAAACAGGATTATGAATATTACTGATTCCAACTTTCGGTACTTAACACCTTGTAGAGACTCGAGCACAGATCAGACAACTCAGCACATGCGACTACAGAATACTGTACGAGCAGCGGCACACTGGAGGATTTTTACTATTGCCTCTCTGAAATTGTGGACCGCTTACTAAACTCCCGATGTGCTGCACATTTAGGTTCTCTGTGTTTATAACATCTGGTGAATATTAATATGAACGACCAGAATTTTACTGCAGCATAAAAACCCCAAATTAAAACAGATAAAACAAATGTTTTATGTTCATTCAGTTTCTATCAATCCTGTCAATTCAATCTGTGCTAAATCTGTGCACCATAATAACGTACGCAACTGTGGTACATCCTCTGTCAACTAGTAATATCTATGTTGTCCCGTAAAGTTGTTTTATATATTTATATATTGTACATACAGTTTTATTGTATTTCTTTTCCCAATGTTCCATCATATTATGAAGATGTTGTGAACTGGCTATGTGAGTATGAAGACATAAAGCTAAAAAAACAAGCACATTCAGGTGTGAAAATGTATGGCAAACATGCATAACTGTCCTTTGTTTTGTTTATATCACATATTTTTATAGTGTAGCAGTACAGCAGTAACCACAGTTTTTTAGTAAGGATTACATTTAGACTCCAATACAAAACTGGTTAGGTTGAAGAGTCTCCTCAGCTGCAACATCTGTAGAGGTTTTTTCTAAGCAACAAGAGGTACAAAAGATGGAGAAAGTTCTTGGGTCTGGTGGAGTTGAGTGTGTTAAAGAGGTTCATTACCAAGTCCAGGTTTCTCTGAGGTCAAGTTTTAATTTGTCGCTTTCTCCCTGTCACACAAGACCTTAAAAATCTGGTGGAATATGGTGAAGAAATACTTAAGTGTGTCCCAGTTTAATAAGTTGACTTACCGCCTTGGCGTCGCTGCCAAACAGCACCAGGCCCGCCTTGGTGACGATGCCGGGTCGGCTGGCCCCAGGGATCTCCAGGGGCTGACCGTTAGGTGGGGTGCTGTTATCCACCAGAGTGGAGCCGTAGAAAGTCACTTTCTACAGGAAGAGAGACACAAATAGCACAACGCTGAGGAAGACAACATTTAGTAACTTTGCAACACAACAGTTGTCACTGTAAAGATGGGTGTGTGTTTGTAGCCAGCAGCCACACTTTACTCTTTTTACTCTGTCTATGTCTTCAAAAGTTAAGGATTTCTCATTTAGTAGTCAAATTAGCAACAACCTTTTTGAGTTTAACACTGAAGCTAATCTGCTTCCCCAGGACTGTGTGTTTTAATCAAATCTGATTGGCAGTGACCAATCAATTCACCAACTGTCATCACATTCTAAATCCTGATTGGTGCACATAGTTGCGTGGCATCACTTTTCCCCAACAGATTCCTGTCCAATTTAAACCAGGGAGAAGAAAATAAATGAAATACAGACATATCACTGCACTGCTACGCGAACTAACTCATTGCTGTAGTTCACAAAGATTGCCATCACTTACACTAACTAAGTTTTCAGGGACTTTATGTTCTTCTATGAATCAGTCATAACTGTTTGTTCATAAAGGATATTAAGCTTTTGTCACACTTCCGGTGTCCACAGTCAGAGCAGCTATAAAAGTGTGTTACTTGATGACATCACTAGATAATACTCTCATTTCTTAAATGCAAGTGTCAGAATTATGAAAACATAATATTTACTTACTATATCATAGGAGATTATATATGAATGTGAGAGAGAGAGAGAGAGAGAGAGAGAGAGAGAGAGAGAGAGAGAGAGAGAGAGAGAGATATATATATATATATATATATATATCTATATCTATATCTATATCTATATCTATATCTATCTATCTATATATATATATCTGAGGATTCAAAAACACAGTCCAGTGGTGGGACAGTGAACAAAGAATCTAGATCTATGATTGGCTGTTCTCAGCAGGGACAGGGGGTCCAGTTACCTGTCCATCAACCTCTGCCCAGGCACCAGGCACTTTGTCGTTTCCTCTGATCCAGTTGTGGAGAGCCTCCGCAGACTGGTTCCAGTCAATCTGCCGAGAGACAGAGACATATGTTGCCATTGTGTCTTCAGGTGTAATATACAAAAGAAATATATAATTTTATAAATAAAAAATCTACATTTTACTTTTAAAACCATAAATCTGAATTACTCGATTACAAATTAGAGATGACTTACTTTTTTCTAAAGCACTGGATTGTCAAGTAGAGAGAAGGGAGGTGTCTGGATGTCCTTGCAAGTTACCTTAGAATTGTCTTTCTTCTGAATGCACTCATATGTGGCTCCCTCCTGTGGCTGGGTGATCCTCGGGGCCCTCCCTTCTGCAATCAGCCTTACAGCTTCAACCTGGAACCAGTACAATGCAGTTTAAATAACTGAAGCAAAACATGTGTGGTACCGTTGTGGACTTTGCCCTCACAATGTGTTATGTTTGGAAACTGGGGAGGTGGGCTGTCTGCAGGCAACTTAAAGCAGATACGCAGGAGGATGTTTTAGATTTGTGGATGATGTTTCCTACTGTTCCAGGCAGCTGCTGATTTACATTGATCTGGTTATTACATGGTTATTTGTATGGTTTAAATAAGCTACCAGCAATAGCTTATTTAAACCATATATTTACATTTATAGGCTATTGTGTAGGGTCTCTAGTTGGTAAATGTATGTGTTGTAATCAAGGGGTTACGAGCTATTCTCTCTATTTAGAAACAAGTCTTTAACACACACAAATACACTGAAAGCCCTGATGTCCCAGTTTTCCACCAGCATTTAAACGCAGCATGCATTTTTGTATCTGTGTGGAGCTGCACGCAAATGTAACCTGATCCATGCGTATAAGGCGATCCGTGTACACACATTTAACAATCTATAAATAAATACACAAGTGTCACAATATTTTTAGACGTGTATACAGAGGGAGCTCTTCAAAAGCGGAAATGATTAGATCTGTAAAACCGCTTTCCATGTGTTCAAATTGCTTGCTATTTGTGTGTGGAGTGGAACATTCATTTGTGAGTGTCCAAAACTATACACAAATCTACATTTATAAATCTTATTTTTCCATTTTGTGTTTAATTTCACTCCATACATGTATGCTGGATGGTGTACAACAAACAAAACAAAATCACGTTAAAAGTTTAAGAACGGAAGCAAGATGGTTTGTTAGATAACGATGCACTCCTGTCTTTACCGTGAGAATGAATGTTGTGATTAGCCCACATTTGCACTCCTGTATTGGAAGTGCAAATGTGGATGGAATGTCTTTATAATGTACATGTCTTCTCTGCATCCCATTCCTTTTCCACTTTATTCTAGCAACTAGCTCAGCCTCCACCAGCTCAACACAGCCTGCGTTTTTTCCACCCACAATGCCTTGCCCAGCACTCCACTTACTGTGCCTTTGACCCCCTCTGGGAAGAGAAATCTCTTGTATATTGTGTTGACGGTGTCATTGGGTTCAACGTCACACTCCCTCTGCAGCAGGATTGGTCCGGTGTCCAGTCCGTCATCAGCCCAGAACACTGTGAACCCGCCCTTTTTGTCACCATGGATTAGGGTCCTGTGTGTCACAGACAGCAGGTAAAAGACTGGAAAAGACACCATGTTAACCCAGACCTACTGAACATGCGCATCACTCACCAGTTGATAGCAGAAGCTCCCCTGTGGCGAGGCAGCAGGGAGGGGTGGTAGATGATGGAGCCGTGTTTGGGGTGGTCGATGACCTCCATGGGGATGAACTGTGAGCAGAAGGGCAGGACGTTGAGCTCGGCACCACAGGCCTTGTACTGAGCCACCACCTCCGGGATGGCCTGGCCCTTCACACGCCAGCGCGGGAACTTGAAGACGGCAACACCATCCTTCTCCGCCTCAGATGCTGCGGGGAAAAAATTAATGATTAAACTCTTAAATCGTGTCATAGAAAATTGGTTTTAGTCACAACAAGGACTAGAAACCAACAGTCCAAAATAGCAAAAGGTTTAACAATAAACAGAGAAAATCTGCAAATCCTGCAGTAAACAGTTTAAATTATTAGGAGAACAGATATGACTAGGCAATGCAAGTTTGTACAAGTGATGAAACCTACATCTGCAGCTGTTTTAAAGCTTCAAAATAAACATATTCACAAGGGAAAGGGAAAATACCTTAGAAATAATATCAGAGATTGGCAGTCTCTTATTGCTGCTGTTCGGCTGGTTGTCTTTTACTATTATTATTATTTTTATTGTTTGTTTGTTTGTTTGTTGTTTTTCTCCTCCCCAAGCCCCCCTCTCTGTTCTATTGCAGGTTTCGTTGCTTTCTGCAATTAGTGTTTCCCTCTGCTATTCCCTGTTGTCCCCACCTTCCATCCCCCTTCTCTTACAGGTGTTGTCCTTTCTCTGTGCTGTCTGTTTGTGCCCCCCCATCCCCACATCTGCCCCCCTGTCCGGCCCGGTGACAAATCAATACATAATTAAATAAATAATAAAACAGACAAAGGAGTATTTTAATAATAATTCTCTTGTTAAAGTAAAATCTGTCTGGCACAATATCGTATCCAGCTCATCATACTCTATACAAGGCTGCTGGGCAGGACAGGTTTAAAAAAAAAAAAAAAAAAAGATTGGCGTCTTTGCCGTTGAAATTAACTTAAT